TGAATTGTTTCCATGAGAAATCTGCCCAACAACATTTGCAATTGGTGATCTCCCTTTAGCAAATCTATGGCCAGGAGTATAACCTATGAGCTTGTAACAATTTCCTTTGAGATGTCCAAGCATTCCACAATAACTGCACATAAGCTTCTTCTGAAATTGATTGAATGAAACGGTTCTCTGATTACCAGAAGGTTGGGACTGATTAAATGAAGTGGTCCTCTGATTACCAAGAGATCCTTGAACCAATCTGCTAGTGAATGCTGCTATTTCAAAACTCTGTTACTTCTTAGCAACAGCTTCCTTCTGCTTTTCGTCTTGTAGTATTAGTGCAAACACTTTTTTAAGAGAAGGTAATGGACTCATCAGTAATATTTGACTTCGAACTCCAGAAAAATGATCGTCTAAACCCATCGGAAACTGCATAAGCTGATCTTTATGTTTATAATCGGTGGCATTGATACTTGGCCTGTAGTTATCCAATTCCTCCCAAAACCCTTAAAGCGATTAAAATAAGAACTAACAGATTTATTCTCCTATGAAATCAGGGCAATTTTCTTCTTCAATTCATAAATGTGCGGCCAATTCGATCCAACTTTCTCTTGCCGAATCCTTGTGCATCACACTTGGATAAAACTCCTTTGGAATCGAATTGATAATCTAAGATGAAACAATATGATTACACATTCTCCAAGCTGAATAAAGAGGATTATCCTGATGCGGCTGAACAATTGATCCATCTATGAAACCTTCCTTATTTTTAACACTAAGTGCCATGATGACAGCACGACTCCACATCGTATAGTTTTCATCAGTGAGCATGACTGAAATAAGCTGCATACCTGTATTATCACCATAGTGAAGATAGTATGGGCTATTCATATCACTTATCAATTGACTGATAAGGAAGGTAACATCTCCTGCATTCGTTTTGGTAGATGGAACGATGGACGAATTGGTTTGATCCAATTGATTGTGAATCTGTACCTGAACATTAGAATCATCTGCCATTGTTAAGGAAGCATTAATGCTCTAATACCATGATAAGTTGCAGCGATCTCAGAAGAGAAAGGAAATAGGCGGAAAGAAAAGAGAGAAAGATCGGGTGGGAAAAATTGTTATTCTACTAACTGAATGAATTAATTGATACGAGGTTGAAGTATATATGTACAGCAAGACGTATTAACAAGATGTGTACAATGACTTAAATATCCCCTGTTATATAGCTCAACAAATACTTTGTCCATGTACAACAAAACATAGCTAATCAGCTACCTCCATGTACAAATTCTGATGGCTTCATCCATATAAGTGACAAATACAAAAGTTAATTCGGCCAAATCTTCAATGGTTGAAACCCCAAATGGACAATGACTTATATGTGATGCCAATTTCTTGAATATAACAAATTCAATAAGGTTCGATAATTCATATGTTCAAATTGAGCATCTATAATTGAATAATGCTAGAGGTACATAAAATATTGGGAACAATCAATTGTTTAAAGAATTATGCTAGAGGTACATAATGATGCACATAATGGTGATGTGTCAATCATCCAGTTATTGATGTGTAAGTGTGAAATTTGAATTAAAGGTTGGATCATATACCACGTGTAATTATGTGAACCCTTATGTAGATATTTATGTACCTGTAGCATTACTCTCTATAATTCACCTCCAAGGTTTACTATTACATACGAAAAAACAAAAAGAGAAGAAAGATTTACTAATACTTTTTTTTTCTCTCTCTTTCTCTTTT